GGTGGGGGAGGTGCATGCTTCTAATTGGTGCTGCACCCTCAAGAATCCCACTGGGCATGTCCTGGATGGGGCAAACGAAGGTCGTCAGGGCCCACATATTTAGCAAGGTGCCCCTGCTGCAATGCTCCGTTTTGATCTGCTCAACAACCTCGTTGGGGCTGTTGCCGGTTCGTCCCAAATTAGTGGGAAGGGCGGTGGCTTTTGATAGGTTTGCAGGTTTTCCTGGGCGAGGCTGCAGACGCCTGGAAGATTCCTCGCCTCATTCTACTTGATACACGGCGCCATGTTTCAGCTGCAGAGGTTCAGCCCGCAGTGTGCACTTTGCCTGACTGCAACAGTCACCGGCACCTTGCTTACAATCAGATCCTTGCTCGCAACTGCCAGCGCTCTGCACCGCGGTCACAACGAGTTGATTGCATGCAGCGTTCGTAGTCGAAAATGGCCGCTGCTTGCAACGATGTAATAAATCAACCCCTGCGGCAGTTGCTGACAGCACACTTGCCATCCTGTTGACTGGGAGTTCACAATTGGCACAGAATCATCCAAACTATATTCCAAGACAATACAGACAGATCAGCTTTTTGCCGGCAGGGTGAGCACTTGATGCAAGCAGGTTGAGTGACGGCAGTAGCTCAGGGCGGTGGTGGGAAACCTGAGGACGCAAACGCAGCTGCCAAGCATAGAGATCAGGCAGGTTGAGAACCGACGGTCTTTGGGAGTGATGCGAAAGCTGGGTGCCCATTCAGCACCGGTGGGGTGTGAACAGAATTAAGAGTGCGAACCATGCATTCACCTCCAACCGTGGAACCCCTTCATAGACTTGCCATCAACTGTTACAGCCTTTCCCCGCCAAATTACTCTTGAAGTGGCGTTTGTCTGAGTAGTGGGCAACTTTGAGATGGCGCGCGCCATGCGGAATATGCCCCGCCCCAAAAGCAGCCGCTTGACATGAGAGTGAGTGGGGCCTTGCTTGTGTTGGGCCTCAAAATTTTGCTGCCTTGTTGCAGCAGTAGTGTCCCTCGATATCCCAGAGGACGTCAATATTATAAACAGCCTTGCAGGTCAAGCCTTTGACCTGCAGGTCAAGCCTCTGACCTGCTGGTATGGGGCATACAAACCAGCACACGACGCGCCAAGCAGCCCGTGCTTGATTATGCTTGCGCTAAGAAGCTTGAACATGTTTATGCAATTGCAGGCCAACGGCATGCTGGACGCGCGCGCGGCCATGAGCACAGGGCCCCTTCATTTGCTGAAAGCGGCCCCTGCCACCCCACCTCCCCAGCTTCCGCCATCACGAGTCATGCACCCCCCGCTGCAGCCAGCCAGCAAGCCGGGGCATATGGGTAACCAGGCGACACGCCTAGTGCCTCGGGTTTTGGGCTGCGCCGGCCCGCCCGGCGCTGCGCGCGTCCCTGTCTGCCTGAATCTTGGCGTCCATTGCGGCCAGGTCGGTGTACTGCGGGTGATGACACGGGTTTGGGAGGAGCGATTGGTTGATGTGCTACGAGCAAGCGGGCGCTTGCGTGCTCGGGTACCCTGAGTGTGTGGTCGAAGACCCATTTACAGCAGGGCCTGCTGTGGACGCAGCAATCTGCGCGCGCGGGCAAGTCGGCCCCTCCACCGCCCTGGTTCTTGAACCCCTGGAACCC